GACCGATCATTGCGGGTGGCACCACCATGTGTCCAACACGACCCGTTCGATTTGAAGGAGGCTTGACCAGCTCGCAAAGGAATGTCCTGGCAGGCGCGCCACTACGTTTTTTACGTGACGGGCCAGGTACCTGGTACTGAAAAAGCAAGCTTTGATTGAACCGCAGTTAGGTCTTTTTCACGTCATCCCTACCGGTTTTTCACCATTTTTTTTTCTTTTTCATTAGCACTATTTAACGCAAACGAAATTTCATCTTTGTCCGGTCAATTTAGAATTCTGAGCTCCTACGTTTCATTAAATGTATGAAGATTCTAAGAGGTCACGGACGAATTATGAAATCAGTCGTCTGCGCCCACTTTGTCAACAGATATTCGCCATCCAAATGAATCTATGACTCGCGACCATTCGTTGAGAACCCTCAGTTTTCACCAACAGTCATCAAAGACTTGTTCATTAACACTTGCGAAATTTCAAATGAAGATTCGCATTTTTTACTTGCTTGTCATGATATCCATTAAGCATATTCAAGATTCAATCTTGAATCTCCGGTACTCAATTATATTTACGGCAGGTTAAACATATATGTAGGCGCGCGTTTTCCTCATTTTCTGCGGCAGAACTCTCCCATCGCATTAAAATTCATTCTGCCCGCATCCGCACAATAATACCGCAGTAGATCTGCTTCATACTTTCGAAATCCATCAAATAGTTTTTCAGAATAAGCAAAGCCATCGCTCTTTATCTCACCTACCTACCCCATACTGAATTACCAAAAACCAGAATCATGTTTTCTGATACTTCCGACTCCATCAAATTTGGCAACGAGTTTGTTTTGCAACAAAGAGTCAGAGACATTGCCACCAAAGGATTTTCGACGATTTCGCTACCGAAACCAGGCAAGAAGCCTTCTCCCAGTAAGATCGAACCTGCCATCGCACTGATCCGTGATGCCATTGATCATCAAGAAGACTACTTGAGTGGGCTTACCATGCGAATTCATCACACGGCGAGGCTAATGGAATGTCTCTACGGAAAGGATGACAAGATGGCCATCTCTACCATGCAAAAGACCAAGCAGATCCAACACGAATACGTTCATATCCTTCGAGTTATTGCTGGTATGAAGGCATTTCAAAATCATATCGAACTGGGCCTGATCGCGCCGGGTGTCAAGAATGTCGAAAAGAGTATCAAGGAGATTGAAGATTGCCCATGGAAAAACAATCCAAGCACCGCCGGCAAAGATGCCTTGGTGGCCATGGTAGGAGAGAAGCGATATTTTCCTGTAATGAGCTCGGGTGGAAAGATTGGATTGTCTTCCAAGCCACTATCGCTTGGTGGCTCCGAGACTGGTTCAGTTTCTGAATCATTCTCTGCTGCATCCTCCACTCTGTCCACAATCACAGCCTCGTCTTCTCTTGCTTCTCCGAGAAGGAGCTTCTCGTAATCCAACGAGAAAGAGAGAGAAAGACCACCATTGTGATACACCGGGTAGGGAACCTATGTAAAATATATTTATTGCATTTACAGTGCACTTTTCAGCTTTAAAACTTAAGATACACTTTTCAACTTTAAAACTTAATACACTTTTCAACATTTCTACGCTACTCTTCTTCATACCAGATCCAGTATCTACCTACCATACTACTACCTAATTACTTGGCACGTGGTCTCAAAGTCAACACTTGCACTGACTTCTTGTGATCTGAAACGGCAACAGCAATTGGAAAACAAGAATGCGCCCTCTCGCTACTACTAGCTAGTAGTACTAGCTCACGACCACTAATTGAATAGGGGTTGTCAATGAACCCAACCCAACTCTTTTTCTTTTTTTTGGGCAGCTGTGATTGGTCGAGCCAAAAAAAAAATAGTTGGTTTGGGTCAAAAAAAAAAAAATAGTTGTGCCGAAAAGAGACCCAACTATATTATAGTTGGGTCTTCAATGACCCGGAGATAATTGATTCGCGGGATAAAAGATTTACAATTCTTGTCCAATGTTTTAGATTTATCGTGTGGAACAGTTCAATTTTGAGTAAACGTAGCCCAAACTTAAACAAAGAATAGTTGGGTCATGCTATTTTTCGACGAAAAATAAGTAGGCAAATATATCTACGAGATATCGTACGTCTCCCTAAACTACCGGCTTTTCCCCAAAAATAGTTGGTTCGTGGCTTCAAAGGGGGTGGTCAAATATCGGGAAAAATACTGCCCTTCTATTGGTCAATAAAAATAAACCAAAAATAGTTGGGTTGGGTTCATTGACAACCCCTAATGAATGAATCAATCTGAATCTCTTTGTACTATATATATATATATATATATATATATATATATATATATATATATAAGTATGCACTTTCATCCATCAAGCGTGAGATTCATTCATCATCGTCTGGTCGCATCATTATGTCTATATGTAGGAGTATTAAGCAGTTATTTGGCGTGTGCTTGGAGTATTTAGCAGTTATTTGGCATGTGCTATCACTACTATGAATCCAGAAGCTGTTTTAGGCAGATGTTCTTGATTCCAGAAGATTCCAGTGGTGTACAATATGACGGGCCAAAGTTTCCTTCCACTTGATAGATTTTGCTTCCGCCTGTGATTGATTTGTTGCGGTGAAGGGAGTAAATTGAAAATGATATTGAATCTTTTGTGAAGGGAGTGAATCTTTGACGATAATTTTGAATTCATTGACCGATTTAGGAGGACTACACTAGTCCTATTGTTTTTTTGTTTGTGTACATGTTCGTTACACCTGTACACGTACACTACCGTGTAAACGTGTTGTCCTTCGCTTCTACCAAAGCACGGCTGGTTTACCGCGATATTCTTATTTTCTCTTACAAAACAAATTATTGATTAACGTGATATTTGTCGAAAATTCGAGAAATAACGTGCTGAAAACCGTGGGACAGAATGTAGAGGTGCTATTCTAATTATATATATATATAGAGAGTACTATACGAGTACACACACGTACACACCAGTTCACGCTACAGGTATTCGAGGCAGGAGGATTGATTCGAATCATTTTGAATTTGGTAGGCTTGCATCATTTTTATGATCTTTCAAAATGATTATGTTTCTCATTGCTTTACCACAATGATATATAGGTCAATATATAATGATTTATGTGTATTAATGAGTCGGGTAATGAGTAGATGAAAGAAAAAAAGATATAATCGTTCTGAACTGTTTCAGATGATCGTGGTTCCTTAGCTCTTCATCGTCTCATCTTGCACTTGGCAAAAAGAATGCTTCTGTTCACGC